GATCTACAAGATCTATTCATTTGGAAAATGTGCTAAATGTGGGCTAACTGTATAACTGTAGGCTACTTGTACTTAATCATTTGCAAAGATGCACTGAGACAATTGAGACATGTACTAAAGCATTTGCCATTTGATAAAATGAATGAGAAATGCCATTTTGTTGTGAACATTTGCCAAGAGGTTTGGAGGTTTGTCCATGTTATTTTGAGAATGTAATTTCTGTTTCAAGAAATGAGCCAAACCAATGGAGAAAAACTGTAATTCAGATAAACGTTTGCACACTTCAGCTTTTTACACAGACAGCACCCCAAAATCACAACATAGTACATATGATTTTTTTAAAGAGGGATAAAAAAAAAAAAAGTAATTAATTAATAAGAATGAAACCTGATATATTCAGCACATCACAGCACATGGCTGCCCATCAAATATAAGCAAGACTTAAAACATTTCTGAACAAAATTATCAATTATTATCGATATTTTTAAGTTATTACATTAAAAGAGATTTGCAATTTTTTATACAGGTCATATTAAAATTCCAATTAATAAAAACTGTAAACATTGACCTCTTGTGTTGTAAATCATGTCCTAAATTATTCTTGCACAATTAACAGCTGACAGAATTTAAAGTGAAACAATGCAATGCTTTATAAAAACTTTTTCGTTAAACATTTTGGTTTGAGAATAAATATGTACTCCATGTAAATCAAATCAAATAAAAATCATGGAAGGCACAGAAAATGACTTAAGACGGGGTGTAAAATGTATAAAACTACTGATAAAAGTCTTATCACCTTCTTTGTATTCGTTTAATTTCAGTTTATCATGTCATCATTATAGATTTTGTCTAAAAAGGCACTCTTTGAATAACTACCAAGAAATCAGACATTCAGGCCTGTACTGTAGTGCACAAGCTTTTAGCCAATCTCATATGATGGCATCAGTGCAATATTGATGTGTGATTTACTTACCAAAAATATGTAATTTATTTTTTTCTACTGACAAAACAAGACAAAAAATGAACCCTGTGATGTCACAGTCATTATCAGTGTTGTTGTTATTTATTTATTTATTTCATTTTTTAAAATTGTCCTCCCAAGTTCTGTCAATCGGGACCAAAAAGTGAACATTATAACTGACAAACCAAAATATTTTTAGCACAGAAAGTCTCCAGAACACAGGACTGGACATAAGACTGAGACCTCACAGAGTTAAATCAAGGCTTAAAGTTCCAGCACTGAACCATGTTAATCTGTTACATTTAGACTGTGCTCTAGAGACCCTGGATCAAACATTAAAAACTGTACTTTCCACTACAGTGCAATCTTAGAGATAAAGCTTAAAGATACATTTCTAGTAAACGGAAATGTCTGGCTTATCCTTCAAGAAAAAAATAGAAATAAAAGTCATAAATTATCAGCGGTTTTGGGGGCAAAACACAACCAACTTGAGTTACCAAATAAGTCCTTCCCCACTAAAGTTAATATAGACTTGTTACCTAGATTCTGGTTATAGCACTAGCTCAAAGGCCCCACTTATAACGTCTAAACTCTTGTGGGTTGCCAGCTTCAGTTTGGTTAAAAATATAATCAAACCTTCCTCTCATGGTTAGACCAGCTTATCCTTTATAGCAGAGATAGGCAATACATTTTCTCAAGGGGCTACAGGAGTGGGACTGTGGATGGCCACACAAAATAACTGCAAAAAAATGGCACGTTTCTGCAAAATGTCCACTTCAGAGTGATATTTCTACTTTGGTTGTAGTTTAATTACTTCATCTTCTTTTTTTCTTGATCAGTAAGATTAATCTAGTCTGTTTTGGTCTTGTCAAGTGCATTAAAGTCAGGGTCAGTGGCTGATAGTTGAGTTAGACTTCTGTCTACAAACCCCTCTGAAACCCTAAGACCATAACTTTACGTGTGCCTCGCTGGAAATGTGACTAGACTTCACATCAGCACAGCTGTTGTGACTGGCCTCTTCAGTGCTGTGAATTCCTCTGCATGTGCATTTTCTGCTGCTTTTTCACCGCAATTGTTTGAATTTAAATGTGAAGGACTGCCTCTTCAATGCCAAATGCAAGACCTGCATCTGAGAGCTCTGGAACGCCCTCGCCTTTCTTCATAAAACTGACAGCTGTGGTAGCCTATGTCACCCTTCCTCCAATAGTGCAACAAACTGTCAGTGATTCAGTACTCTTGCCTTGATGAAGTTAACTATTTGAGTTAAAATATCAATAACATGGTTAATTTTTTAACATCTCTTGGTGTTGTGTAAGTCAGTGCTCACCAAAATATGTTGGTGCAAAATACCACCTCAGCTCCAGCCTATCCAAGCATGGAGTTACCGCCATTACTCCATGTGCCACTGTCATAGTCCCTTTCATTCAGTGCAGTGCTGCCAGTTCAATTTAGTTACTGTGACTTTCAGGTATTTTGTTAGCACCCTTTTTTGTCCTTCAGTGTCTTTTGTGTCAAGTTAATCTTATTTCTCTGCCCGTTCCTGCTCTGCATCAGTCATGTGCTTGTATTTGCAATTGCTTTGTAAACCTTAAACACAGCAATATGCTCTCATCAAGCAAAGCATGCAGCTTTACCTCTGACTTCAGTAAATATTTACAAATCCAGGTCTCGTTAAAAAAAAACAACAACTATATTTTGCATCAAATAGAATTTTTTAAAGAATATTCCTTTCAAAATAAAATTAACAAATTTTGTAAAAGAAAAAACTGTAAGCCATTCTCTGTTTGTTGGATGAAATGGGACAAACTGCATGATTTATACTTTTTCACCTTTGAATCCTAAATTCTCCTTAAACTCTCACAGGCTCGACAGGGAGAACCAAGGGGTCAAATTTGCCCTGCAGACTATAGGATGTTCAGGTGTAACCTGCTAACCCGCTGACCAGATCACATCTGTCACACATCTATAGAACCTGTATTTTTCTGCTTTCATATTTGTCTTCTGTCAATAGAAGGAATGTCTGCTTCCTGCTCATTGGACCAAGCCTTTTCAAACCCATTTCTTTTGTTGATTTAAAATTAAGTATTACGTATTCAACTCATAAATGTAGTGACCTAAAAGGCTTGTGACTGCGTCTACGATAGATCCATTATACACTCTTTAACCCCACAGACTCACTGATGTATACAATGAACCTTACAGCATAATGAACCAATCGTTTTAAACAATTACTCGCTCCTCAGCCACTCCTACCCAAAATAAAATAATTTTAAAATTCATTTGGTGAACAAAAGGCACAGATTTTAGTTGCATTCTTTGTAAAAGGTACAATGGGTGACTTACTGTATGGTTTTGAAGTCGCCTACAGGTTAAGTGGCTCGAGTTGTTAAAGTATAAATGCAGAGTTTGAGATAACAACAGCTCTTTGGATGTAACTGGGATTATGATAGAAATGGCCCAAAGTCTGCTTACTCCAGGCCTTGTATGTGGTCACTGTGTCAGAGGTGGCACCGAACTGAGTAATTTTTCAGACGCCAGGTTGTCACGGTTTTGTTTTTCCGGCAGGTGAGCCATAACATTCAGGTCTATTGTCGGAGTCATAGCTGTTTTCAGTCTCTGGGGATTAAAGAAGGTAAGGTTTAAGCAATCATCAGTTTGAAAATAATGTTCAAGCAAGATTTAAATAAATAATCAGCAAAAGGACTATCCGTAATATCTGACTGTAACTGGAGCCACTAACCCATCACCGAACACTGCCCTTTTTATCAGCACGATTCAAAAGTCAATGGCCGTGTTTGTTCACAAACATTTTACCGCACTACTGTGAAAATGTGACACTAGTTCCCAGAAGATTAGGCAGACTGGCTTTAGTGATGTTCTGATCCATCAGCAGGTCAACATTTGAACAAACATTTTAAAAAACAAATCTTTGATAATACATAAGTTTCTGTCACATTCAGGGACAAAGCAATGCCACTGGATTAGGTTTACATTTTGCTAATTAACATGCTAGAATAAAAAAAGTAAACATATCGAATAAATAAGTCAAAGTCTGTACAATCATATATGCTTACCTGAAGAAGGGATCCTTTATTGTTATAGATCTCTTGTATTGCACCAAATGGGATCCATACTATAGAGACCAAAGAAACGCCCCAGCCCACCCATTCAGCCCACACTGGGTACTCGTACTTCCCATAGTGAGGAGGAGTGTACTGAATAATGCTGGAAACCAGTATGCACTATATAGAGAAATGAAGAACAGTCTTATAAACTACTTTACTGGTGGTTTTAGGTGCATTATTTAAACAGGACTCACCAGCACCAACATGGGGCAGAGCAGCAGCCAGCAGACTCGGAAGTAGATATTTGGACTTTTTCCTAGCATCCTCCTGATCATTAAGGAGATACGTGGGATACCTGAGAAAAAGAAAGAGTTTCATTATTTAACCCCTTCTTGCAAAGCGTTTTGGCAGGTGTCCACAAAAATACTAAAAACAACCCACACAGCAAGCACAATCGAGCCAAATATGGCATGCCATCACATAGACAGTGCCATCTATGCCAAGCCCAGCCCATATCTGGATGACATACATCTTATCATGCCAGAAGTCAACCAGCAGTGCCGGCTTGTTGCCAGATCTGGGCCAGACCTGCTTGCTATGTGGGTATGGCCTCCTCCATGTCTCCTGATGTACTGGCCTGTATCCTGGTAGCACCTCCATGCTCTGGACACTATGCTGACAGACAGAGCAAACCTTCTTGCCAAAGCTCGCATTGATGTGCCATCCTGGATGAGCTGCACTACCTGAGCCAATTGTGTGGGTTGTAGACTCCGCCTCATGCTACTACTAGAGTGAAATCGCCGCCAGCATTCAAAAGTGACCAAAACATCAGCCAGAAAGCATAGGTACTGAGAAGTGGTCACCACCTGCAGAACCACTCCTTTATTGGGAATGTCTTAGGCTAATTGCCTATAATTTCTATTCCATTTGCACAACAGCATGTGAAATTGATTGTCAGTCAGTGTTGCTTCCTAAGTGGACAGTTTGATTTCACAGAAGTGTGATTGACTTGGAGTTACATTGTGTTGTTTATTTTTTGTTTATTTTTTTAAACATAAACAAAAAAGTGAACTTCATGTGAATTTTACCAAAGATCCAACAGATGGCAACAACCTCAAAGAAAGCCAGGAGCACAAGAGAAACCACAGCAGTGTAGTGGTCCATCAGCTGAAACACGTAGATACCTCCCTGTAAGTAAAAGACAGACCTACATGACAAAACAGTGACTCTTACCACATCGACAATTGTGTTTCCCTGAGAAGAGTCTTACATACTGCACCTTGGTAATGTGAGGAATCCCCAGTGCAAAGCAAACAAAGCACACAGCCAGGACCAGCAGCTCTTCTCTCTTCAGGAAAGGCAGAACTTTGACTCCAAATTCATCCTTTATGTATGTCACAGCTACCTCAACTGTGCCAAACTGCAGAACAAAAGATTTAATACAAACTTAATGGTTATCTGCAGACCTTGAAGTTTTAAATCATAATCACAGTCATTCAGATGTCGTACATGTTTCTCCCTGTTTAGCCTGTCTGTCTTACTGTCTGTGTTGTGAGTGGCAGATATGGCAAGACTCAGCCCTCAGTTCTCTAGCACTCAGCCTACCAGCTCAACTCAGACAGACGAGCATTCTCCAGGCTTCTCAGCCTGCTCTGTCTCTCTTAACACTTGTATATTTACATTCAAGCCTTTTATATTAAAGCAAAAGTAGTATGGTAATAAAATATCCAAACAGTAAAGGCAAACCAAAATGAGGGTAAGAGACCTCTTTTGATACAAGTGTGCAAATGTTTCCTTTAAATTCAAAAGTGCAAAAGCTAAAGTTTGATGTAAAAAATTAAATGTACAGCGCTGCAGATGTTTAGATGTTTACCTGACTGTCCACGCCCAGACACAACAGCATGATAAAGAAAAGTGGGGCCCATAGCTGAAAGACTGGCATGGTTGAAAGAACTTCAGGGTACACAACAAACACCAAACCAGCACCTGAAATATAACACAGAGGACTTGTTGCTATTTTACAATGCAGACATATACAAATGCAGGATATCCGTTGCTATTCCAGCTTAAGTTGGCTGTGCTGTACTGAGCTGTACTTTAAATGTGTGTTATTTGGAGCATATTTTGAGTTCTGTTAAAATATAAACTGGGATCCATTCAGTGACATGCACATATTTCTTTGCTTGGCAAGAGTTATGAGATAAATATTTAGCTTAGCTCAGTTTATAGTGAAGTAAAGGGCTCAGACATTTTTAAGATAACCCTAGCTAAAGTGTAACAAAGCACAACAAGGTCCTTCGTTCATGACATGAGCTCCTGAACTCCTTGGAATCATATAGCTAGACAATAATATTTCGCCTGCACATAGAAATTAGTGGCAGCTTAAAGAAGCACACTGCAAGACTGTAGTTGGAGACTCGGGAGGATGAGAGAACAAAACTAGTGTACAGTGAAAAAATATTCGCCCCCTCTCTGATTCTTAATATGTCACTTATTTGCAACACTTGAATGTTTCAGACCATCCAATACGTTTAAACATTTGACAAAGATAACCCAACCCAAGGAGTGAGTCCAACTCCTGAAAAACATCCCCACACCGCAATCCACTAACCTTTACACTTGGCACAATGCATTCAGTCAAGTATCGTTGTCCTGGCAACCATCGAACCCAGACTCGTCCATCAGAAACGCAAAAGTGTGATTTGTGACTCAAGCGAACATGTCTCCACTACTCTAGAGTCGAGTGGTGCTGTGCTTTACACCACGTGGGCTAAAGCTCAGGAGGTAGCACAAGTCACCTACTGACCAGAAGATTGGTGGTTCGATCTCCATCTGCTCCAGTTTGCATGCCAAAGATACTAACCCCATGTTGCTCTATGAATGTGTATGTGTGTTAGATAGAAAGCCCTTACATAGAAAAAACTCATTTCATGGCCCCGTAGTTCTGTAGCGATGGAAAGTTAGCGACCCATTCTTTCAGTCGTGTTTGTAAAAGCAGTCTGAATGCCTAGGTGCTCGGAAGTTATTGGAATTCAATGATTTGGATGGGTGAGTGAATACTTTTGGTAATATAGTGTATCTAACCAGCACAAACTACAATCAAGCATTCTTGTCTAAGGGGCACTTTTACAATTAAATTACAATTTTTGAAGAAAGTTCAACCAATTAAGAGCAAAGTGATTTTTCAAAGTGAATCAGACCTCAACATCTGATGACAGCTGACAGGAACAATTTGACATTGAGATCAGAGGATTTTATCTGAACACACGCAATCTCTGTCTTTAATAACTCACTGCTTGACTGCTGATGCTCATGCTTAAATGTTGCTTAAACACTTAACAACACTTAACTAATTTAAACTACACTCTCTCACACAGGCATGTATACACAAGTTATGTACTCAAAAAGGGCACTTGAAAGATTTAGTACTGTTCATTAAGCTGAGAAAGTCTTGCAGTTTCGACTATAGTATGAAAACTGAATTTGCCACAGTGCAGTTAGGTGTGGTTGAGATTACTCTACTTAACAGCAACAGACACACAATTGTTTGTACATGCAGTTGATGAATAGTACTCCTTATAGTGAATACAGTGAATTTTCCTTATATAATTAGTCGGGAGCCACTTTAGGAAACTGCATCCAGATGTGCACATCCTGAAATATGCCTTTATTTTCCATGGAAAGAAGAGACATGTTCCAAGGACAAGGAAAACAAACATCAGCTCTTAAAACAAGCCTGGGATCTGTCTCCAGTCTTGAACTATGATGATCTATCAAGAATGTCTCTTCTTTTTAAAGTCCTCAAGATAAAACAAAACTACAAGTCTGATGTTGTTTTCAGGGACTCACCATCTGTAGCTATGTTGTCCACTGGGAGGTTATGTATATGAGACATGTAACCGACAGCTGAGAAGATCACGAAGCCAGCCAGGATACTAGTGAAAGAGTTGGCCACTGATACAATCAATGCATCCCTGGGAAAGAAAAAGGACAATGTCTGTGAAATGTAGTTTATTGCTGTCGTGTCATTGTCAAGCTCGCACTTTATCAGAAATGTCTGAGGCCTTCAGTGGTGCACACGCGGCATTAGCACCCCAGGACCTTTAACAGCAAAGCAAATTTTGAAGGAAAATACAATTTGTTCCATAAATAATTTAACTTTGTTCCCCACCTGCTGTGAGCAAAACTGCTATATAACCACATGCCCTCAAATCACAGGCAACCGAGACCACTGCTGTTCATCAAGGAAACTGAGGTTTACAGTAACATGCTGTGTCTGTATTAACTACAAGAAAGAGGGTAATATAGCATCTTTTAATTTACTGTGTATTGAAGTCAAGTGAACCCACACTGTTCCTCTTCAGCATTTTGTGTCAATCTTATTACAAAATGACTGCTTTTTCCACTCTGTTTGAGCTTTTTTTAGACAGTGTTATGAACGCTTACCTGAGAATGTTGTTGTTGAACTTGTTGTAACTTGCCATTGAAATCATCGAGCCAAATGCTATTCCAAGTGAGTTAAACACCTGGGCAGCTGCATTAAGCCAAACCTGTGATATAGACAGAGGAGAGCTGAAGATTGATACGAGTATAGTTTCATTTGATTTGGATTTGAAGGCCATGGAAATGTATTTTCTTTATAAGCATCTTCCTGCAGAGGTGAACAGTCTTGAGTGAAATCAGATGAGAAATCTATACGTTGTGATTTTCAGTGGACAAAGTCATGTCAAACATCTTTGTACACTGCCTGCAGTTTAGGAGCTATTGTTGCTAATAACTAATTACAAACAATGAAACTAACCATAACACCCATTAACATGTGACCTGTTGTAGTGGTCTGTGGTGTCCTGCACTGGGACGCTGGCAGCAGGGCCCCTGATTGTCTGTATGATGGACGTAGTGAAGGAGGACATGCAGAGGATTGGTGTGACAGAGGGAGATACTACAGATAAGGTGAGATAGAGGCAGATGATCCTTAAAGGACCCAGCCAAAAGAAAGATAAGAAGAGGTATTTGTCATGGTCTTCCTATCCTCACTGATTTTCTGCCAAGATTTGTTTCTTTCTCTATCTCTCCCAATTCTACTTTTTCTGCATAATCCATCATACAAAATGTAATCAAATGGAAAAGTCTCTTTTTAAAACTTGTTTTATTTGTTTTAATCTTTTAACTTTATGCATCAAGCAAAAATGTTATTATATGCAACATTCTCTTACTGGAAGAAATTTGTTTAACATTTAAACTTATTTTCTGCACATTCCAGAACATAAAATAAAATATTTTTTTACACTCAGTCTTTCAAATAGATGCAAGTAAAACAGAAAATAAATAAAGTCAAAGACTAGCAGTCCTGTTGCTCTATTTTCACCTGTAAAGCAGGAGTGAGGTAGGCGGAGGTTTGCCCTGGTGCAGGTGTGCCGCAGCGGTCAGTGGAAGAAACTGCAATTTCTCTGTGAATTTCCCATTACGTGGTAGCGCACTTGGTGCTTGTTTAGGGGGGTTTTTTCGCTGTAAAAAGAAGTTTTCTTTCCACGCACAACGGACACTAGTGTTTTTGTCACTTTTTATGGAATCAAATTCAAAATAAGGTCAGTACTTCCACGCTTTAAACGCTGCACAACCGCAGAACAACAGCAGCACGTTTAAGTTTGATAATCTGTTGTTAGAATTTATTTAATATTACTTTCTAGACCAGGATCCTTTTCTATGTAGTTGACAGCTGGTAACTGTGCAGGGGCGGATCTAGCAAAGTTTAGCCTGGGGGGCCGATAGGGCATGAACAGGGAAAAGGGGGCACAAAGACATACTTTTCTTTCTTATTCTCATTTAAAATGTCTAGATTTTAATAAATAATTATCTGAATTATTCTCATTTAAAATGTCTAGCTTTTAATAAATAATTATCTGAATCTTACACCCAAGTTTTAATCTGATGTAAAATGTATAGAAGTCCATTACTTTATATAGTAACTGTTAAGTCTAATATACCCTAGTAAGCTATAGTACTTTTTCCTTTGGGAAGGTACCATCTGTGCAGTCTGCAGTTCTGTTGAAGAAAGATGTTGAATTTATTTAATTATTCTTGAAAAAAAATTGATTTCTGTGCTTTTTTTCACCCTGCATCAAATTAAAGTTGATTACGTCGATTAAGCATCATGAGGTGGAGGGTGGTCCCCTATTTTATTTTATTTTTTTGCTGGGAGTTTGCAACCCTATTAGTTAGGTTGCTTACTCTTTAAAATACCAGAATAGGAAGGATGGAGTAGGTTTAAGTTTATTAGATTGATCAGTTTTGCTGAACTATGAAATATTTTGGGTGCAGTGTATTTTTTTGCATACAGGTATAACAGAATAGCTTTAGTGTTTGTTTGTTTTTAAACTTGAGTATGAACTTATACAAAATGCAGCAAGATATTAAAAAAACGTTTTATTGATTAAAAAACACACTATATCGGATTCATATCGGTATCGGCCGATATCCAAATTTATGATATCGGTATCGGACATAAAAAAGTGGTATCGTGCCATCTCTAGTTTCTACATGCTTTTCTTTTCACATGGCCAAGGAACAATCTCAACAATCTCAACGTTTAAAGAGTCCATGGCTGAAATAACCTTTTCAGGTCAGGTCTGGCATGCTTTAAGATTGACCCTTCAACAGACACAAGTTAAAAGCCTACTCTTTCAAAAGGGACACTTCAAGCTTCAAAGAAAGAAAAAGGTGGCCTGATTTGTTTTTGTACGCAGACCAGTACAAACTAGTACAAATTGGGTTTTGGTACAGATGTTTAACCAACATCCCAGAGATAAGTAGTCTCACCTTCACTTCAAACAGTTTGCTCCACACCGGTGTCACAAAATAGAGGATGCCATTCTTGGCTCCAGGAAGCTGCACATTGTTGATGAGCAGGGCAAACAGGATGAAGTATGGAAACACAGCAGTGAAATATACTACCTATAGAAAAAATAGCAAAAAAAACAAATGGTGAATGTCAACTTGAAATCCCCCTAAAAAAACCTTCATCAAAATCACCATGACACAGCAAAAGTCATTTTTCTCACCTTTCCTGTGGATTTGACTCCTTTAAATATACATAAGTACACAATAACCCAAGCAAAGACAAGACACCCAAAGAGTTCCCAGCGAAGACCACCTAATTCTTCAATACCGCGAGTCTTTTCCAGAAGTCTGTTACTGTGAAAAAGAAAGAAAAACATGTGACTAAAGTATCTTCAAATACCCAGAAAATTTGAGATAACTGTGATTAGAACATGTTAGTAAAGCTTGACCAGCATGCAGTACAATGCACTCACAGAGAGAAGAAAAAACTACAAAACATTTTGAGTTAAACAACAAAAACTGCTTTAAATTTGGTCAAAGACACTTTGCTAATGACTAATGACGGTTTTCAGTAACTTTAAGAAGAAGAACACAACATGATTTGAGTGAGCACTACTTATACAGCACAATAGTGCCATACAAAGTGAGCTGCAAGGAAGTGACGTCTTCTCACTCAAAGAACTGTTGGCTAGCAGACTGCAGGTGGGTATCGTTGCCAGGAAAGCCACTCGAACAGTTTCCAACAGCATTCCAGGTGTTGTTGCAGGACTTCCAAGGCAGAGTCTCCATTCCGAAGGAGTTGAATAAATAGTAAAGTGCCCAGCTCATGAGCACATTATAATACGTGCAGAAAACGAAGGAGATAACAACTGTGGCCAGACCAACACCTGCAGAGTGACACATGGGGATAAAGAGAGTAGTGAGAGACAGCTCTACAAGAGTCGTGCCAACTGTGGGAAAGAAGCTGTATGCTTTGCTTTATTCTCATACCCAAAGCATTACTGAGTGCCAAATACTTGGACCTGATAACAATGGCATATATCTTTTGTAGAACAACCAGAGAAGAGCCAGTATCATTAATAACCTCTGCCCAGTTTCCCCAATACACAGCCACAGATATGGCAAATTCCTGGGGCCTTTGAGTAGAAATTACGCCGTGTTGTTCAGCAGGTGAATATAAAAGACTACTGAGTGAGGTGAGATCAAAGCCATTCAGCAGATGTAAATTATTCAGTCTTTTAACACCTGTGGTTCTGAGCTGCGTGTCAGGTTTCAGACTGGGGCAAGTATATGTGTAAATACCAAATGCAAGTTTCAGCCTCCTCCTCAGGGAATTCAGAACAATGTCTCGGTTAAAGAGCTCCCATCCGGAACAGGTATACAGGGTCATTAATTAGCTGAAATATCAGCCCTTTTAAATACAACAAAAAAATCTGTTCATTTGCTGAGTCAGACCGTTTTATGTGTCGAGATCAATGGTTAGAAGACTATGCTGCCATCTTTCAGAATACACTTATTTGTGTGCTTTGGGAAAGTCATTTAAATGACAGCTAAAAGTCTGTAATTTGTACAGTTGCTTTTCTTCATTTTCTAGTCTGTTTCCTAAATAGAGACTGTTGGTCATCTAAGCAGAGGTACTGAGGATTAAGAGACACAGTTTTGCACCTTGAGGTTTTCAACTTTTGCACTTTTTATGTCTGCCAGTTGATTTTGGACTTTTCATGAATTTCTGCTGTTTATGTAAGATTAAACATTCACTGGAGTATTTTTTAACATTTGTGTCTGTACTTCTACTTAAGTAAAGAAAGCCCGTATTTCTGCCACCTCTGCACAGCTGCTGCTCATTGTCGAAAGGCTGGAATGCCACGCGCCACAGATCCATGTCTGTAAAATATACATGTGTCCATGTAGTAAAATGTGGAGGGGCAGGCAGCTGAATAACAGCTCTAAGCAAAGGAAAACCCTCTAATCTCCAGGATCAGTGCGAACCACTGCTTAGTAAGTAAGCTCTACTTCCTTTTGTTATCACCTGTTTGCCTCTTTCACACTAAATATTATTTCATATTATATTATTTCACACTGCCAAAAAAATCTGAAACAGTTCAACTAAAGAAAAGCAAGGCAGAGTAATTAAAGTATTGCTAGGATTAAGGATTAGTGGATAAACCAGACATGGGTTTATTTGCTATATTTGTGATATTTGTGGGCAGCTGCATCATGGATCACAGGTACATGACAGTAAACTGCACTCAAATTGCACAGGTGAGTCATTCAGAAGAATATACAAAAAAAGACTACCTGCTTTGGGCCCCTGCTTAGCACAGAGCATTAACCAGGAAGAAATGAGCGATAAATCAAGTGAAGGACCCAAACGTTTTGACCGGGTAGATAATCTCTGTCCTTAAGGAGATAAGAAAACTATGGAGAAAAATCCTCAAGTTAGAACAACACAGAAAGCATTGTCATTTCACACCCACAAGTAGAGATTGTTGATGGCTGATCTCTTGTTTGATTTAGACAGACTGTTGGTCCTCTCAGAGTCCACACTTTTCATTTTCTGGAGATGTAAAACTGTGGTTTGTCTCAGCTTCTATATTTTTTTTAACAACAATCGAACTTTAAGGAATATACTGATCCACTTGATTGGCCTTTTTAATGAACTAATGCAGACTCAGAGAGAACATCTTCAGTCGCTCGTGATTGACTTAATTATCGCGGATTTTACTGACGTCAACTTGATGGTTTGAAAGGTTCAATCATACCTCACAAAGTTAAAATACATGCAGTCACATGTACTTTTGACTAAACAAGTTCTCATCCATCAACATGAAAAAATATGAAAGAAAATAAAGCAGGATTTATTCAAACCAAAGCATTAAGACACCTGCATGCCTTCACCATGGCTATAATGGATAAATAATTTAAATATTTATATGAGATCCTTTTTTTACTTTACACTGAATGGTAATGTGGGCTTCATGGCTCTTAGGAAAGCAGAAAATCCACACATGAGGTTTGTCATGTTTTACATAAATTATTCCCGTTTTCATGATTGTCAAGTTTTTTTAAAAAAAAACTTGCTTCTGTCAGGTTGTGGCAAGATTTCAAACCATCTCACTCTCATACATGGGTTGACTGCACTTTGTGCTTGGTTGTCATTATAAAGTGTGTTGCTTTTTGTGTTTCTTAACCCTTTGCAGCTTTAACTCATCCTTGGCTATAGACTTTTCTTTTTTCCATTTCTGTGTGTCGTCTGATTCATATGCTATGTTTTAATGTTGACAGCAATTATCTTTGAAATAAACACAGATATAATCTTGTGTTTTCATTGTGTTACAAATTTTAAATACATCAAGCTTGTCTGACCTCTTCTACAGTTATCTGGGTTGGTAGGGCAGTCCATTTTAGAACTCACTGTTTAGACACTGTATTGATCAGCTGGAGTTTCTGGTGCTTTTGGCTAATAATTAAACATTTTTCTGCAAATATATGAGTTGGACTCTTGGTTTTGGATTTTGAAATCTATTATAAATGCATACAAAGAAAAACCGTGTTTTAAAGGTGGTCCAACAACAAAAATAAATAAGTCCTGGATAGTAACTTACCTTTCAACAAGGGACAGATTTTGGCGAAAGCATGCACAGGCCCTAAACGAGTATACTGCCCAACAGTAAACTCCATGAAGAGCAGAGGAATGCCACACACGAACACCATGGTAAGATAAGGAATCAGGAAGGCACCTGAAGAAAACAAAATTTAGCAGGTTTACACCTCTTCTGAATAAACCAGCTGCAGAAAATTCCAAATAAATACTACTGCCAATGTCCAGATGACAATTGTAAGCTCACATTGATTGTTTTATAGTGGTCAAGTAAATAACTGCTGAATATCCTCTGCTGAATATCCTCTTTAACAAAATCTAGACAGCTTCCATGCTGTTTGGAAGTAAGTGTTTGTTTGTTCCTTTGCTTGCTTGTTTTGCTGAGTCTTTTATGCAACAGAGTAAAATTTCCACTAGAGGCAGAATTTGCTTGTATAATTTTTTTGTGATGATTATCAAAAAGCATACAGCTGATGCTCAGTTTCTATTTCCTAATTGCTGGTGTCAGATATTTTATTATTATGATAAATGATTGTGATATTTTATACCAGAGCAATTCAGCCCCAGATTTAAACGTTTCTGTCACTGTGCTTAAGGAACCCACGCACATGTATGTGCCACTTTTCAAATATGTGCATGAGGAAAAATAGCAGGAGCTGTAATTGCGGGTGTAAAAGTTTGAACAAAGTGTATCTGAGCATTATTGACGAAATAATGATGAAAAAAAAGCATAACTGAAAACATAACTAAAAGTAGAAAGTAAATCTGAAATATACAGAAAATGTGTTTCTTTTATGTTTGTGCCCATTTCTACTTATTTATTGAAGTATGTATGAAATATTAAAGTCACTAAGAGTTAAACCCTTTTTATTGTTTTTGCATTTTCTCATTCAATTTTATATTAACAGTTTTTTGAAGCAAATAAAAAAAATCCATAAAAAACAAATCAGTAAATAACTAAATAACCCTTGCTGACCACTTCAATGTTAATCTACTGTTTAACAGACTACACAGTCACTGTTACATAACTGAAGAATCACGATAAATGATGGAGTGCAGGTAACCAATCATTTTGACTCTAAGTTAACCTGTGAATCAGTGATATTGTATTTTAAACAGCCAGAGCACACTTTTGCGAATTCCCCGGTTAAATATTAGTTAGTTACATTATTTCACAGAAGTACTACAGTGCTGATGATTTTTTTCAGTCCCGCCATGCAGAAGCCTAATTGATTATGTGCACGTTAGCATATGCTACTTCCGGTGCGGAAACTCCTGTGGGGAGCTTTGTTTCCGGTGTCCTATTCGCGCCTGGTTTACGGCCCAAAACAAGTTAAGCAAGTGAATGAATCAAGCGGCGATTTACACTTCTATAGATGTCTTGGGCATTTACCCAATATATCTGTAAATAATGTTCATCAACTTGTCGATATTTTTCCCCAGCGCCTCAGGGCAAAAGAGAAAATGGATTCAAATGTTATATTTCTCAGCTGTCCCTCGTTTATCGCGGGTGTTATGTTCTAAAAATAACCAGTGATAGGTGAAATCAAGTACCCAATTTTATTTTTTGACGTTGCAAAACGTGTCGTGGACATACAGCACTGCACTTCAGAGTCACACTGCTAGCGATCGATGCAGAGATTCTGTATTGTACAGGAGAGACGTCACGGAGGAGATCGTCTGCAGCGATCAGGACGCAGGACAATGTGATGTAAAAAAATAAGCATGCAAACTTGCACGAAAAAATCTCACAGCCAGGTGAAAGGTGAACCACGTTATTAGCGAGGGACCGCTGTAATTTTTAAGGTAAGTCACAACATACCCTTCATAAATACAAATGTGTAGAAACCCAATCATTCATTTTTTGTGTGCCGTTTTTTCACGGTTCGTTAACATGCTGTGTAGGTGTGTACTTGTGTAGCTGATATCGACATAATGGGGGAAACACCTGGTTTGACTATTCTTCACCTGTAGTGTGAATGCTGAACATTTGCCTGTTTAAATCATAAGACCAGTCACTATACAGAGATGTGCTTCTGAATGTGGACGATGTGTCTTCTGCATGCAGTAATGCAGTTCTGCTTGTGTTGAGTGATGTAAACAACTGATCGATCTAAACTCTTTAAAAGTCATAATTGATCATTAGAATTTTTATGACACAACAGTGGTGAGTGTTCCCACCTTCTGCTCTTTGTAACTTAACGCGATCTTTCCGTTTTCGAGTTTTGGACATGATTTTGGAGTATATCTTTGCAGTAGCGATTGACCGCAAAGTAAAACTACCGGAAATGTACAACTCCACATCCGTTCTCAAACCAGGAAGTTAGCATTTTCTCGTGCACAGGGTCAATAAAATAAAAAATAAAAAACAGTAGCTGCTGCTATGTTTACGGTCTGCTTCGTGTTCCGTGTCTTTAGCACTCTTACCTCCACCGCTGTTGTAGCACAGGTACGGGAATCTCCAGACATTACCGAGTCCCACGGCGTAACCCACCGTGGACAGGATGAACTCCAGCCGGCCGCTCCATGTGGGTCTCTGAGCCTCTGCGTCTGCGGTTATCTCGGTGATGCCTTTGAGATCTGCAGTACCTGATTCCCTGCTATCAGAGGTTTCCCGTGAGTTCTCCACACCAAAATCCATTGTAGCTTAGTGATGAAGGTAAAGAGGGTTTTATTAAATCAAGATGATTCGCGCTTTAATTTGGCACAACAAATAAGTTGACTAGATTTGGTGGAGTGATGTAAAGACAAGAGAAAAATGAACTTCTAGAGGGTCTGAATCAAAGATGTCTTAGGATAAAAGGGGATGATATGCGCTACCAAGACAGCAATGATTTCAGATCCGTTTCCTCCTCGGATGTAACAACCCAGACCGGTGTCATGTAAAGGCAAAGCCCACTCCTTCTCGTGTAAGCCTGCCTTTTCACCCTTTTGCACAACACCTGGCTACTGTCAAACGAGTGTGGGTGTTTTGGATTGGCCCGTTCCCTTTCTTTCCAAAATAAAGGTCCAGAATCCCACCCGACAGACACATAAAAAGAACCATTAACTAAGTCTTCTGGCTGGTTTCAGCACAAAATAAATATGAATGTGATTCAAAATATTCCACATCAAATGAGGAGAAAATTTTAAACAGGGAAAAAAGAACAAGCTGCCACCCACGTGGAGTACACTAGCCCAGACAGTGGTAGATCGTCTCGCATCCCTCTTTTATTTTGAAAGGAACCCGTTAACTCTATTCCTGCTCCCGCTCCGCTTTACTGGCTTGACGCGAGTTTGAATCGTATGAATAGATCACTGGCTTTATTCGGTGTAATATTTACCATGTAGACCAGTTTCCTTTACTGGCATATGGGAAAACTCATAAAGAGGGATTACTCTAGCCAATACACAGTAAAAAATGGAGTGTCAATATTTCAGAGTAAACCTATTTTAACCTAGATCGAGTATTTACAACTCTATGAGGAGTAAACCAGCTCTAACATCAGAGTTAAAAGTCAGTGTAAAGTTTCTTAGTCACACAGTGAAGACTTAACTCCACACAGTGTTGATTATTACCAGTCCACAGGCGTGTGTGGCCTCAGAGCTCTAATGCGCATGGAATTATCTCCGAAGAGCTGCCACAGTCAGGTAAGTTAAGTTAACATTCCCATACTGGTAACATTGTTTAAAAGGTATTTTAAAACTAAATAGCTCTTTATAGTTTCACTGATGTCGAGTGAGGACAAGTTAGCAGCATTTACCCATAGGTTTAATGACATTCCAGTAGCTACATGCTAGCAGTTGCTAAAAGTTCAGATGTTCGTTATCTTCTCACTGCGTTAATATGAACCTAAAACATTTTAACTATGTATTTCTTCTAAATGCTGTCTAAATAATATCATTGTCACATGTCAAATCGCACAGTTTGAACAACTAAATTACCGTTTATCAGTAAGCTAATAATTGCTAATTAGCTTACATAAGCAAACGTACTTTCAGAAAAAGTGGGTAACATTACCATAAAGTTAACTTTACTTGTTTATATTATTTTAAGCAAATGCCAAAGGCATACACTACTTTAGGGTTTTGCTCATTATTTAGTAAGAAATATGTATTTTGTGTAAATTAACTGATAGCAATGTTAATGACATGTTAAGTAATATTAAGTAATGTTTCTATTTTATAGAAAGTTTTCAGAGTATGGAAAAACCAAATCTCTGAGAGATGCAACCAGAAGACGGATGAGAAACATACTTGACGCTGAGATGACAGAATAACATGGGTAAGAATCAAATATGTAAGATATAAAGAAACATTTTTAACATTGTATTATTTTTAATTGTGATGTTTAATGCCAATTATTGAATTTATACATTAGGACATCTCCCCCTAAAAGTGTAAGAGTGATGTATGCGCAGGGCATTGTTGCTCTGTCTCCATATCTGGAAGACCCATATTCACAACATGGATATGTAAGTAAGGGAAACTTTTCAACATTAAATACATAATTGCCCTCAGAAATGTTGATAGCATAGTCCTTCTTCGTTTATTTAATTACATAGAAACATTACTACGATCCAGAGAGCGGTTCAGGATACATTGCATGGCGGTTGAAGACCATTCAAAGAAAAGCTGTGGAGGAAAGAAGCGTCTCAGTTTGCAAATCTCCCAAAAGTAAGTTCACTTATCATTTAAATGATACTGATGTAATTTATAGGCAGGATTCAATCAAACACCTCTCTATGTTCTGTATTTTTGCATTACAGATAGAACAAGATTTCCGACTCCTGTTTTGTGAGGTCACTGCGAGCAAATTCTTGGAGAGGTGGCCCATCAATCTCAAAGCAAAGGTTGTAAAGGAAAGTCATGGACTTGTCCCCACCTCAGAGCTCTTGGAGTTAATGTGCAATGCTGAGTCAGGTACTGAAGTTGAGAATGGTATGATTGTGACTGTTTTTATTTGCCATTGTTGGTTATATAGGTAATTCTGTCAATTCAATGCATTTTTGGAATAATTCTTTGTTTATTCATCTGTAGGCTGGGACAGTGACTTGTCTACTATCTTGCTGCTGCTACATCTGCTACCACCATCTGCACAAGGGCGAAAGAGACCAGGAAAGATGTCTGCATCTCAAGCTGTCAATAACCTCATCAAATTCCCAAAGGTATGTTGTTTAAAATATACTTTCCATCACCTCTATTTTCATAGACAGTGAGTTGAGCTAATCTACTGTCAGAGGATAGTCACTTAATACTGTTGTTTAATGTGTTGTTGTAGGCTGGAACCAGTGTACAGCATCATCTAGACAACATCACCCAAAGCAGTCAGCCCTACCTTCTTACTCAGGGATCCACAAGAAGCAGCATTCACACCTTCATTGTGATTGAGAAGCATGCACTTCCATGTAAAGCTACAGGTTCAGTAGGAGCCCTTGATGAACTCTTTAGGGCCCATTATGTCTTTGGTACATCATACAGTTAATCCATGACCAACTTTTTTACTTTTCTGCAAACAACTACGACATTGAGGAAATGTCATATTGCTTTCTCTACTGAGCATCATAGAACTGTGAATTGTAAAGGTTTGTTACGTTAATTAAATGACACTGAAATGAGAAACATAATAAATGCTGTTACTTTAACCTGTATATTTGTTGTTATTTCCATAATGTAGGATAGATCACAGTTATTTAGTAATATAGCATCATAAGATGAATATGAAAAAATCACACTACAGGAGAAATAAAAATGATATATTATTACACATCAGAGTGTTATTATTAAACTAAATTTGGAGTAAAAATAGCTCTATAAAGTGTAATCAAATTACTCAGAACAGTGTGAATAACCCTCAGTGTTAAATATTTTTACACATTTTGTTGTTAATTTTGACACTAAATTGTGTACAATTAACACTGGAAAGTTAACACTGGCCATAGAGTAAATTTAACTCTAATTTTGAGTGGGACCAAATGTTATCTGAAGCAGAGTTAAAATCAACTCTGTAAGTGTAAAATTGACACTTGGTTTTTTACTGTGTACAAAGTTGAACTGAAGGTTCATTTAAAGTGGTTTTATTTATGGTCCTTACTGCTCTTTTTACAAAATCTATATTGGATGAGTGTGTGCAGAGTTTTATTGCTTAAAAGCAAATACACTATTCTACTCTGTTCTATAGGGTTTATGTTCCGTAAACGTGTGCCACAAGCTGGTTGAACCGCATCCTTCTATACCTGACCCGAAGACTAATTTAGCGGTCAAGTAGCAGCCAATCAGAACGCTCCCTGGTTGCACGAGGAGACTGTCGGTGGTTGTTGGGAAAAGGGAGTGGAAAGAGAGCATTGAAGGACTGTAGCACTGATTTATTCCTCAAAGATGACGGTGTGCTTTTGTATGTGTATGCGTGTGTGTGCATGTATGCAAGCATGCATGTTGGTAACCAGTAAGCAAATCCAAGGCTTGCTTTCCACGTGCTTAACTGCTTATATTGTGTTTCTGACAACCTAGCTTTGTCCAACTTTGCAACATGTCAGTTGGTTAGAATGGCCTCATCAGATGGTTTCGTTCCTGTTTATTAGCTTGTAAATTTTGACATTAGAGCAAGTTCATATAATTTGCACAGTTTAGGCGTTGCATTGCTTTTTTGTTGCATTGTTTTGATGGACAGCAGGCAAGAACTACCGCGTAGCACCACACATTATATAGAGGCCTCCTTGTTGTGTTTGGGTTATTTGTTTTTAAAGTTGCAGTGTAAAAAATGTCATCACTAGATTTCAGTAGATTGCAGACTGCAGTCAGCTGTTCTGTTTTCTTAACCCTCACAATTCAAATACATAATTTTTGATGGCTATCTGTGGTGAATGTAAGCTGTCAGTCCCCTGTTTTCCTCGGCTGTTAGTAGACTGCAAAGCTTTGTGAAAGGAGTAAATAAATGAGAAGAAATCAATTAGGAAAAAATTATAATGTTCGTGCACATTTTCATGGGTCAGAGCCCTGACTTCAGTGCAGGAGATGAGGCTTGAGGTGTGGAGGAAGAGGATGACACTTGATCCGATCGTGTTTTCTCTTTCCTTCACGTTTTCACTTTTCTGGTGAAGAGCAGCCCAAGATATGAAGGCAAGGTCTTTCATATCTTGAGTCTGAAAATACAGCCATGAATTAAAACTTGCCTCTGCATTATGTTTAAGTTCACTGGCAAAAAGAGAAATTTGTGTCTAAATATGTTATATTGCATGTTTACACAGCAGATGTAAACCTAGTTTATTATGTCATTTGTTTCTTGTTACAGAACCAACACACACAGAAGGAAGACCTGAAGTGTAGCTTGCTCTTATTTTTCAATACAAGAACATCTGCTTTTTAATTACCGCCCTCTGCTGACCACTTTTTAATGAACCAACAGAAATTTACTTCAGTCCATAGCAACAAACCTAGTTCACAAGCTGGCAATAAGTCTCTCTGAATGAGAACTAACCCAGCCACTGATACAAGTCAGGAAGGTAGAAGGTAGAACTGCGGTGACTCTTAGAACAGGGTACCCCAAACAGAAGTGGCTTAATAATAGTGTTGTGTCAGGATGTGTATGGGAGCTTCATTGTAAGGTCCATCATGACTATTACAGTGTAACAACAAATACTGCCAAATATAATGTTTACCTTGTTTAAATAACAATGAATGGGCTTTCACGCAGCTGCATTCTAAAATCAAGAGCCAAAGACTTAATAATAAGCTTATCGTGAATATCGTCCTGGCTACATTAAACTCTCCACTCTCAGTTTATTCTACCTTATCTAATTTTTTCTCCATTACTTTAATGCACTGTTAACAATAGCCCCATTTTCATTAATATGCCACACAAATATTGAACCATGTCCCACGCTGCAAAACAGGAAATTAATGTTTCAGCCACAGTCAGTGAAACTGAGGAACTCATGACGCGTTCGTGTTCCTGCCTGTATATTGGCCCTTTTACGTAAACTGAAGATTGAAGACACAGTTCTACAGTTTTCCCAGTGTTTGTGGCTTTATTTTGAACATGTTAAAATAACATAACAAAAACAAATAAACAAGCAGAAACAATCAATGTGACTGTACTGTACAATGGCTATTTCTGAAGACTTACTTAAAAAATAACAAGAAAGCTTGGCTGACAGAGGCCAGGCTGTGCTGAAGAATAAATGTGGACATCAATCTTGTTGAACTGCGCAAACTGTTTTTTGCTTATATTTCCATATATATTTGCCCATGTTTCAATAAACACTACACCTATTCCCCATTTTCCAAGCAAGACATAATGAAATGAGGTGCGGCATGAGATTTCACAGCACTGTACTAATACTGACAGATGTTACAGTGAATAAGCCACAATTTTTTTTCAATAAACAAAACTGTATAATTTTTTTAAAATCTTAGTACATACCAGCATTTGTGTTGAATGCTTTGAAACTAAAGCTCATATGTGATTTAAAGGAAAACTAACTATTTAAATTCAATCGCCTAAAGGTCAACTATGAGTCATGAATCATGTTATTGTAAAAAAAAACGCTTGAACACACCCTTTATAAAAGAAATATTATTCTGCATGGAGCAGAGAAAAGCAAAGAAACAACACGTGCACTTTGCCAGTTTAATGTGTGATTAAATCTTCTCATTAGGTCTAATACCCTTTCAGTAAATAACATTCATTGCTATTCTGCCTGTGTGGAAATGGTTTTAAAGAGATGATGCCTACTGATTTCAGATGCTGCAGTGAAATTATTGTTTTGCCCAGCCCAGTATTATCAGTGAGCCTTGACTATATAACAGAAATAAAACAGTTTAGAAGCACTTTAAAGGCTGACTTGTTCCTACAGTTAATCCTGTGTTTTGCATTTAAATAGGAAAAGTGCAAAACACAAATTGTAAAGCAAACCATTACTGATGATATAGCAGTCATTTATCTTTCATAAAATTTTAAAAGAATTAAATTAAATTTTAAAACAGATTTCCTTTGATACAACTGTAGAACTTCAGGAAAGACACTTGTCTTGCGTCTTATTGTACTGTACTTACTCTATTGCTTTAAGAATGCAATAAGATCTGATGATTATATTATCCTTAATATATTATGACGTCAACACTTTGAAAGCATCCCATCGTTTTTATGTCGCGACAATAACATACAATAACGTTTCATTTCTATCCACAAAAGCCTAGCAACCACATAGCAAATCGTTGTGTAGTGCGGGGATATTGGCAGTAGATGGCGCCACTGTTTTTCCTTTCGCGTTTGGGGCCAAATCTCAGTTTTCTCCTTCTTCCAGGTGCGGAGGTTTGGCCTTTCCGCTCTCCGTACAGGAATGTGAGCACTGCATTACGTCAGTCGTCCTGCCAGCGGCGAGAGAACAGCTCCGTCCAGGAGGTCTCAGCACACTGCTTTCTCTCTCTCTCTCTCTCTGTGGAGGATTAAAAGGCGTTTGTGTTTTCTTCCTGCTGTATTTAGAGGTGGGAATCTCGGACGGGGAAGAACGAAAGCGTGAAGCGGCTCATGACAGCTCTCCTCTTCAGTATGAGGAGTTAGTGAAAAAACAAAAAGGGACCTGAATATCGACGACACTCTCGCGGAGTAGATGGAGGAACCAGGAGGTAAAGTGGTATTTCATACTGTACCTTTACACTGAAGTGATGCTACATTGCAGTGATGTAAAAGAGCACCATCTCTCTGTCTGAAGCGCTCAGCTCACGCAATGTTTTTACCTTTTAAAACTGGGCTTTTTGGAGACCGAGCGCAGCGGCGCGATTGTTTGTCCAGATCCCAGTTAAACCAGTATTGCAATTTTCACATGAGGTTTGTGCGCTACACCTATTTACAGGCGAGGCTCGTTTCTTTCTTTGCAGATAAGTGTTACTGTGTGGGCTGTAGAGGAAAGATTCAAGACTCGTTTCAAATGAAAGTCCTCCAGGACACTTGGCACAACGCCTGCTTCAAGTAAGTGGCTGCAGATCCTGATTTTAAGGACCCTCATTACTGTCATGAGCACAGTTTTGTCACTCATACTCCGATGATTGGAGACTGTTTGTGTATAAGAAGGAGGTGTTAGCTCGCGCTGACACAGACAGTTGTTTGTGTGATTGATTTTGTGTGTGTGTTTGTAGTTTACTCTGTTTGGATGTACTTACAAATGGACCTGTGTATAATCCCAGAATTTTCTGTTCTGTCGCCTAAACACAGACTCGTGTCTGTTTTCAACTGTTCTCCATTGTTTTTGTGCACAAAATGTACTATGTAGAATGTCATTCGGCAGTCCCAGCTGACAGATCTCCTCCCCAGGAGAACTTTGCCCCTTCTGCTCTTAAGCTTAATGATTGCCGCTGTGGAGATGATGTGAGCTCTGTGGTTCATACAGGTCACTGACCATATTTTTGTGTGCAGCAGTAAACCTGCAGTTTGATGCCAACATACTGCACATGCCAATATTATATAACACACAGAGGGTTTTCCCCATGGAGATCAGTTGAAGGTTGTTGTTTTTTCCCCCCTTGTTAAATAAGGAAGCTCAGGTTGTTTAACAGGAATGACATGCGGTATTTCAGCTTACTGCGGGATCACAGTTGCATTTGCTGGGTCGTATTTAACTACCATTATAAAACTGATCAGCAAAAGCTGGCTGCCTGAATCTGTGAGATATTGCTCATTAGTAAATGTTTTTTTCCCGTCTCTCTATCTCTGACTGAGAAGGCGCACCTAACACACACAAGTACACCCAAAAATGTGTTTGGTGTTTGGGAGTAGATCAGGGTTCCTCTGGCACTAAAAATAGAACGCATTTAATATTTTCTAGGTTGACTGAATCTTACAGCTGAAAAAAAGAGACTCTTAATCCAGTATGTATGTGGCAGTGTCCTTGCACGACCTTTGATTTCACTCTTTTAAAGCACACACTTCTCAATAACACACAAAGCCTATTTATCTCAGCAGCAAGGTTCCTGACGCAGCTGCGTTACTCACCCTTGATGCTCTCCCTCCCTTTGTTCTTTTATACCTTTTCACATTTTTGGAATTCCTGGTTATTTCTTTGTCTAATAACTTCCCTTCTTTAAAGTTTCTGCATATATGAAATATTTTTGCTTGGGTGTTTGTTTCTTTTTTTTTTTTTTTTTCTAAGCACCATTGTAAGCTGATGCCATCGTCGCTCACATTCTTTGCGAGACATAACTCGTTAAGCAAACAAAAATAAAAATGTCCTTGCAGATGTGATACCCTGTGGTGTTCCCATTCTCTATTGTCAACATGCTGCCCCTCTGCCCTCCGTATACCTCCACCTTTTGTAACATTCTTGTGAGGCGGCGTCACTCTTGTTCCAGTAAACCTGGCAGTGTTATTCAGGCCTATAGGTAATGGCACGTTCAGCTCTGCAGCGTTCTGCATTCCTAGACGGCGAATCAGAGATGTGAGCTCTCTGTCTCAAACACTACAGAAGCCTTTGTGTTGTTGGCGGTTTTTTGTTGGTTTTTTTTAGACAAAACTATTTCCTATCTTGTTCACTGCTTTCCACCTGCATAACTGCAGATCTTATTGCATTTTTTCTATGGTTAAAAATAGTCTTTCCCATACTGGGGAGAGTTGTGTAACCAAAAATAGAAGCCACAGCTAGATTTGTACAACGCTACTATTTTTCTTTTATACCTTCATTTACATTTTGGTGTCGCCTCGTACTTACATGTGCATTATAGACTTCAAATTCAGTGAAATTCAATAATTGTCAATAATTGTTTTGCTTTCAAGGAAAACAACCCCCCAAAAAGCCTGCTGCTTATGTACACCTTTACAGAGCACCGGGTGCACACGAGCATTATTTAGAAGATGTGGATGAGTGGATGTTTGCGCCTCATTTAGCCTACCTGTGAAGACATTGCATCTGGATGCGCTGTTGGAAGCAGGCCAGCCAGTGGAGGCTGTAGAGGATGCTTTGGAAAATGTGGAAAGTCTTATGTCCTTCTTGTGGAGGTTACTTAGGTACAAGCAGCATTGCAAGTACTTCTCCTGATGGCTGTGTCCTCTATTGGCATAATAAAAGTTGAAGGTGACTTGGCCTCCAAATTCTCCATATCTGAGTCCAGTCGAGCAGTTGTGGGGTGTGTCCAGGATAAACGGGTCTGATGGAGGCCCAATTTCACAACTTTGAGGACTTAAAGGAGCTGTGGTGAACTTGTTGGTGCTGATGCCATTGCACGCAGTGAAATACGCCTTTGTCAGGCTTTCAAGGCCACATGTAAAAGATCATCTCAGTGTCTATTTCTATCATTACTGCCACACTTTAACAAAGGACTCCAAAAGGCAATGCATATTTAAGGAAACAAGAAATGTTTACTGTGTAGTGTTTGTGCAGCCAACGTGACTGTAACCACCTGAGTTAAGTGCACACGCCCATTCAGCACCATGTATACGAGGAATTTAGGTGTTTTTATAAGCACACTTGCGTTACTTAATGTAGATGGTAAAAGGAACAAAGTGTACAATACAATTTTGTATATGAATGCTTTTTGTTCAGAACAAGTTTTTTTTGTTTGTTTTTTTTTTTACTATTTCTTTGTATGTTTGTTTTCTCTCCTCCACCTAGACACTCAGTATGTTGTACATTCAGTATTTTTTTTTACCTTTTTTTTTCTTATTTGTAACTATTGTATCTATTGAAGGGACATTGAGAGTGTTGATACCTCCAGCCGTTGTTGGTGCTGTGCTGACATTACTTGTCTGTGTGCTACAGTTTGACAAATACTGAATGTTTCAGGCTGATGGCAATGTCTGGGTGCTACAACAATCAAATGTGTATAGTGGCCTGTATTCATTTATTTATTTTTAACTTAGTCACTTTATTAGGTACATCTTGTCAGTAATAGGTTGGACCTGCTTTTGTGTTCATAACTGAGTTAAGTCTTCATGGCATAGATTCATCAAGGTCCTGGAAAATTCTTCGGAGATTATCATCCACACTGATGTGATAGCATCACGCTGTTGCTGCAGATTTCTCAGCTGCACATCCATGATGTGACTCTCCCGTTCCACCACATCCCAAGGGTGCTCTATCAGGGTGAGATCTGGAAATTGTGGAGGCCATTTGAGTACAATGAACTCATTGTGATGTTTAAGAGACCAGTTTGAGATGATTTCAGCTTTGTGATTATGGTGCGTTATTTCACGGGAAAAAGCTTTACTTTTACTTTCTTTTTTTTTATTATTTTAGAATAAGAAATTTATAATTTTTATTGTGTGTGTTGTATATTGTAATATGTCAGGGGCAACCTTTTGGGAAATCTGAACAGGTACTAAAAGAAAAGCGCACAACCTTTTTAAAGCTGAAGACGCCTGACTCCATCAGGCAGCTAGTAATAACATTTTTACCAAAGCAACAAATTCTAAAAAAAAAAAAAAAAAATTTGTGAGTTTTCCAAGTTCACAAAATCATTTCCGAATATTTAAAAAAAAAAATTAAGTTAACTAATACGTTTTTCACTTCTAGTATAAGTTTTTAGTTTTGTTTTAGTTAACTGTAATAACCTCGTGTCAGACTACCACCCGAATGCTGCGGCAGAAACTGAGACTCATTAAGACCGGGCAAAATATTAAAAGTTGGCACTGTAATTGCATTGCAGCAGAAACGAGTCAATAATAATATAATGCAGCATCTGTATTTTCTCCCACTCCTAATGATGTTTGATAACGTTATTAATCATTTAATGAAAATGCCAAATTTGTGTAATATTGCGTCACACCCAGACATCAGATGTTTGGCCTTCTAGTGCAGTTGTGACCACAGCAGCTTAGCAAGCGTTACTCATGCAGTCTTGACATCAGGATAATTGTTCTGCTCTGTTACTCCTCATCACAGCACAGTGTGATACACCGGGCTGTATCTTGTGTCCTTTTCTTTCATGTCAGAGGAAAAAGGTTTGTTTCCTGACACAAATATGGATCTGTTTCATGTCACGTCCTCTCTGCCTCAGAGCCAGCTGTTCCCTCATTCTCCACTTTTCTCTCTGCAGCACAGACACAAACATGTGGTCTTTCCTCCAAAGGACAGCTCCTTCTTAAGTAATGCCAGAAAACTCTGAAATATCTGGAGTCTGTGCCAAAGTCAATAATCCTGCATGAACTATACCTACAGTGGAGAGAACAACGTGATACGCGGGTCTCAGCTGAAGACTGGAGCCAGCACCAAAAGAATAAAAATGCGTACGATAAGCATTTAAAATAATGTTTTTGTCTTCATCGAGAATCTGATGCTTTTCACCTAACTGGCAAAATAATCATGCTGGGAACCACTCTAAACTGAAAGTAGTTGACTGTTTAATATTATAGCCGTTCCTCTACGCAGCCAGTATATTGTCTCACGTCTGCTGTTAGTTTTGTGCATAAGTTTGAGAGAAATCAATGCAGTGAACAGCTTTTTCTTTCCCGTTCAAGTGCAAATAGTCGACTGTCCTGACGTCTCTTTTTCACTGTGACTCATTTGTCTACTTGTCATCACCAAGACATCAGGATTCTTCTTCAGATGAATGTGTAACCAAGGTGGAGAGGGGGGGAAAAGCTTGAGGGATCATTTGTGGCAAAAGTGGCTCCAGAGGCTTCAGCAATCCGATCTCTCATCCTGGTTCGGGCCCTGGCAGTTAAATCTGCTGCCATCATTTTTGCATAACCAGTGCAGCTTGTTCAAGGAGCGCTCAGTGCCTGCAGGTGCTTCCCAGTCTGCTGGTAACTTCAGCATTCTTCACTCTGAACATTTTGTCTCAGTCTCAGGCATTAACGTCCTCTTACCTCTGCCAAATATCAGTTTCAATTAGCAGCTAGTCATTTAACAGCAGCAGCAGTCGGCACTATTTTTAATAGTAGTGCCAGCTTTTACTATCACGCTGTGTTAGACTGTTGAAGGAAGAGAAGTACAATGAGAGACACTCAGAAATCCTAAACCCCAGGATGGGTTTCTGAGCTACTGTGGCTAACGGCATGACTTGTTAGTATTTAATATGACCTACCTAAGAAAATGAACTGTAATCAAAAGCTATATTATAGCCCAACTGGATAATTTGAGGACTTTGCCTCCGTAGAGTCTTATCTTGAGTCTGCTTATAGGTTGTGGTGATCCTGAATCCCATTAAGCACTGAATAAGGACTTGGCAGCTATACAGGCACTGCGCAGTCTTCAAGTAAGAAAAGTTCTCCCAAATCCAACATCTGCTTCTTCAAAAGTGGAGCATTTTTATTTAGTTAGTTACTTTTGTGATCCCTGCCTCTCTAACAGTGCAAGCCCCAGGGCATTTCAGCTACAAGGTATTTGTACTGTTGTACACCTTGTAAAACAAGACATGTTATATGTGTGGAATTGACAATTGGCAAAGCGATCAGAATTTTTGTTACAGCTTTTCTCATGTGATGCTTTTACTCATTTATTTTATTTTAAAGACAGTTTTTGGGGAAAAAAAGTTCCATATTCTTGAGACATTCATTGATTAATCAAAAATTACACTGAGATTCATTAATATTTTTTGGTACATCATCAAGTATAAATGGTATAAAACACGGATATGGCACTGTGGTGTCACCCTTCGTTTTTGGACTCCACATTTTGAAGCTAAGCTGTAGCCATGTTTTTGTTTGTTTTTTAAGCCAGCTGTTACCTTTATACAGTTGAAGGGTGGAGTGCGATTCAGCAAACGTGGTTCACATGCTGCATTTATAAATTGTGTGGGTGCAACACAGACACACCTATCAGCTTATTAGTTCTAAGCAGTGGATTAATGTAATCTTACTCACCAAGCAGGAGCACAAGCTTCTAGAATGAGCCAGCGAGCACACAGCAAGCCATATCATTAGTCAGATAATCCATTTAAAAAGCTCCTATAGCGCACACACATAATGAAGAGGTTCAGTCCAATGACCACATTATTTCCTCAGGTATTAATAAAATATTCTGATTCTGATTTCGAAGGTCTAGATGATGCTGATAACAGATAACTGAATTATATCCATGGATGAGTTATAGAAAATTCAGCCCCTAATATGATTTTCAAAGCTGTGAAGTTTTTGTCACCCTTTTTGGCTACTTGAGGAGTTGCAGTTTTTGCTACTTCTGCATTCGCTGAATTTTTCAGTTCCAGACGTTGACCCTTGATTACAAAGGCAGAGTGAGGAGGGTCTGCCAAGTGCAACAGAGTTAATGGACGTTTCACAGGTTACCAACATCTATGACGCAGCACATACAAAAAAAAGTCCAAAGTTTTCATTCTTTATGTTTCTTGAAATTTTAAAAACTGCTAGATTAACAAGCAAAACTGATTTTATTTATCCGTGTTTGCTTATTTTTGATTCATTTTTAACTTGTAGACATCAAAGTCACTTGTAGCACGTTTGCAACTGATTAAACTTCTGATTTAAAAACGTCAATATTTTTGCAAGAAACTGTCCATTAGTGACAGTCCACATGGCGTTATCACCACAGAGTAAAGATTTTAAAGTCAGCAGCATCATTGAGGGGGCAGATTTCACTGGCTGACTGGCCACGTTGCACCCCTAGGTATGTGTGGCTGCCCTGACCTCACAGGTGGTTTACTGGATGAGAATTTAGGGCAGTTTGGATTTGTTTTTTTAGGTTTGTTTTCTACATTGTGCACGAGAAACTGTTCGAAAAACACACTTTTTTCAGAGATATTGCAGATGCTGAAGTTAAGATAAGAAACATTTGAAATATTGGAAAATCTGGGTCTTTATTATGTAAATGCTTGGCTGCTTTTGTGCACAGTCAGTATTCTCTATCAGCATCTTTGGCTGGCTTTTCCCCTGCTGTGTCTCACATGTGTTGTACATCCATGCAGTCAAACAGGCTTTTGAGACTCTGAGCGCCTTCATGTCATCATAGACATCTGCTTCACATTTCAAAATCCATTCTGAAATCTTTTGTTCTGCCTCTGTAACCCTGAGTGTTGGTTTTTTTTCTGTCTCCTTAGATGTTCTGTGTGCTGTGACCACCTGACTAACTGGTACTATGAGAAGGACGGCAAGCTGTACTGTCGCAATCACTACTGGGAAAAGTTTGGAGAGCTCTGTCATGGTTGCTCTCTGCTCATGACTGGACCTGCGATGGTAAGTCTGCTGCTTTCATTCTTTTACTCCATTGTATGGAGGGTCTTTTCTTTTTCTTTTTTTAAGCTGTCGCTCAAAGACACTGGAATCTGAGCCAACACCTAATCAGCCCAGACTCCACTAATTTTACATCTCCAAGCACTCTATGGCCTGTAAAAACATTTAGATAACATTGTTAGTTGCTTTTGGCTGAGACAGCACATGTAAGCTCGGGTGTGGTATGTGAAATAGATGCACATCTCAGGCAGTCAGGATGCAATTAAAGGTGCGATCAGGTTGCATGTTTTTTTTTGGGGGGGGTTGTGTCTTGTAAATCCAATAGAAGTTTTTACACAACATTGGCTGGGCTTCTCTTTTAATGCTTACATGACACGCTGACTTGGCCTGGCACTCAGCCCTCTTGTGTTAAAGACTTGAACATAACAGAGTTATCCATACTCTGGTGTAGAATGAGAATTACAACCCGCCAGATCGTTTTTGGGTTTTTTTTGCTCTTTGCGCGTCTGGTACGTTTTGTTTTTTCTTTTGGAGACTCTCAACACTGGGTCGAGACTGTTTGACCACTGCTGTTTGCATGTGATTGCCTGGCTTTCAGCGTCTGTCTTGCCATGATCTTATAACACCAGTTGCCAACCTTTTCCCTGCCTACTTAAATAATGCCAGAAAGCCCACAGACCATGTCAGTACGCTCTGTTCCTGTTTCTGCTTACTGCTCTAGATTAACGTGCGTTAAAAGGCAGGGGGCAGTGTTTTTTTGTGGCAGTTATTACATTTACAGATGAGTGATACTTCACATGGGCTGCTGCTGGACTTAGCAGAATGCGGTCTAGACTTTACTTGTGAATTACTTTCCCCCCCTTGAGGCCCCATTATGTTCCCTCTCAGTGCAGAACTTCTCCACAGTTCCCTATTAATGCATGCCACACTCTGCCACTCACATTATGATCCGTACTGATGGTATAAAAAACAAATGGCGCCTGCTTTTTGGGGTTTGTTTCTCCACAAAGAGAAAATGTAATTAATAAAAAATAAAAAGCCAAGTTGATCAAAGTAAAGAAACTGACATCCACTAAATTTAACCCAAATGTCAGGCAGCATCGATTTTTTTAAATATCTACAAATCAAAAACCTAAAACTGAGGTGGCCACAAATGGGGTCACTTTTCTAGCATGGAGCCGGGCTCAAGTTTTTCTTTTTGCCACCAAGCAACACACATAATGGAGTCCTCTATTTGGTCCTGGCATTCTGCTTCATCAGCCAGCAAAGCCAAGTGTTTTTGGCAGGGCATAGCTGGCACCGGAGCCTCTCAGCCAGAAAGAAAATCATTGTGGTCCATCAGCGGAGGAGGGTCATGCAGCGCTGCTGCTTGTTAAGTATTCAAGTCCAGAACACTATTGTTTCTGTCCTGGTCCAGCTGATTGTTAGTTCATTGATTCTTTGGAGATGTTTTTGGAATTCAGAGCACCGTGTTTATGATCAGTTTATGCAATCCCGCTTTTGTTTTCCACTGTCATATTTTTCTGCCCACAACGGGGTCACCGTTAATTGTCCCTCACTTTGATCTGGCTTTGCCAAGTTTTTACTGCTCCGCACTGCTGTCTGAGCCTCAGACAGGTTTGTGGCTGCTCTTAGTCACTGGTGGATTTTCTGTTCCTGGCTTAAAGGCAGGGAGGTACTGACAGACTCCTGATATGTCACAATGATTTGGCTGACATCACTTTAATCTCTCTGCAGCAGCAGGGAATCCTTTCACAGCACGAAGTTTCTGACTCAGAGCTGTGGCAATAATGTGGGAAAAATACTGAGCAACTCCCCACGTGCTTATTGCAAATAGCTGAGATAACTAATCCATAGTTTTAGGACTTTTGTTTGCATCAAAGACAAACAAATATCAAAGCTTTTGATTTATTTTTTTCTATTCCAAAACGGTGAGAAAATCTGCTGGTGCTCCCTTTAAAGGTCACCATAGCAGATTATCTTCCTCTGTCACACCAACTCTCTGCATGGCCGCCTTCATTACATCCATAGTTAAACCAAGCCCTGGCAGGGTCCGATATGTTTGATCTGGCAAACATTTTATGCCGTATACCATTCCTGACGCAACTCTCTCCATTTATCCGGGCTTGGGACCAGCACTAGGAGTACCCCCACCGCTACCAAGCTCTGCTCACAGCTTGAAAGCATTAATATTGAAATCTAAAATCCCATCCATTCTAGCACTGTTTTGAAAAATCTGTCCACATAAAGAGGCCACATCAGGAGCATGCCGAAACAAGAGATGATGATATAACCCTAAATTTCTAGAAATGTTCAACAATCAGAAGTGACAAATAAGATCACGGCACACAGGCAGAAAAAAGGGGTTAAAGGTGCACGGTTCTGAGGTTGCTTTTATTGTCCACTTGTAAACACAGAAAATCAGTTTCTCTAAATCTTTATCCTGGAAGATTTTTTTTTAAATTCTCCTTTTTCAGTGACTTAGTCCATTCACAACGACCTTTTAAGGCCAAAATGCATAAAACAAAATACCCATCCACATGTGGACAGGGCCTGAAACACATGGTTGTATTGGGCAGGTTTTGATAGTTGGCGGTCTGGTCTAACAATACCAGGTGAATGCAATCTTTAAACCCTCTCAAGTCTCACTGATCCCCCCCATTAACTTTCAATCGCTTTCACTTTATCCTTCTCGCCTCCTCCTCCTGTTTTTCTTGTTGGGTACAGTTTCAGCACTTACTCCCATTGTTCCCAGATCCACTATTCCAGCTAGCGGGAAAACAAAAGCGCCATCCTCTTCCTGTTTTGGTTTCGCAATCAAGCCTTCGTTTTTGTACCTGGTTGTAGACAAAACTGTCCAATGTGTGCAAGATTGCTAGGCAAACACTTTAAGCCCAGGCGTCTTTGTGCAATCGACTTGTATTTCATCACAAGTTAAAACCAAAACTTCGTCTATTGCCTATTTAATTACATAAATAATCCTGAAATCAACATTTTACTTGTATGCAAAGGGTAGACATGATCTCATCTTGCATGAAAGGGATGAAAACAGTGTGATGAAACTGAAGTCCTGCATGCATGTCAGAAAGGGAAATCGATGACTGATACGCAGGCAGTGTCGGTGAGAAGTAGCTGAAAGTTTCACACCATTGAAAGGAAGAAAGCCAGTAAGACGAGTGTGTCAGCTCCACTGAGGGTGATGTCATAGCAGATTCCAGACAGGCTGAGAGTGAAGCAGGTGTTACGGCTATGTCACCGCTCACGGTGGGAGGGAGGAGGGCAGAAAACAACACGCAGCTCACAGCTCACCAGCAAAGCACAACAGAACAAGACAGCAGGCTCGTCGCGTTACTTCTGAATGGAGAACTAGCCCGTTTGTTTCTGGTTCCAGGTGGCTGGAGAACATAAGTACCATCCTGAGTGTTTTGTTTGCTTGAGCTGCAAGGTGGTCATTGAAGACCGGGACACCTACGCTTTAGTCGAGAGGTCAAAACTGTATTGGTAAGTCACCTGCACTGGATTTCTTTAAAGCTGTTTGTTGAGAACTGCTTAGAGCAGCAATTGTAGGGCCTTAACGTACATGTCTTGGTATGTAGGCTGATTTTCATAGTCTATAAGTAAAGGTTGTAAACTCATTTATACACCACTCCGACAGCCGTCCCATGAAAAATTAGCCAGGTGCTTCCAGCTAACGCCACCAGAGTGAACTGATTTTATTTTTATAGTGTCTTTAGAGTATTTAGTGAAGCCAGATACATTTTTACCTTCATGTTTAGAGTATTTTAAGTTTTTTAATTAACAATCATTTCCCCAGCATTTCTAAGCACTCAGATACATAGATATAGATAATGGGTATTTTATTGATCACACATGGGTAATTAGTGTACATAAAATAATATGTACACTATAAATCTAAGAAAAACCACAGCATAACTTCACTCATACCTGATGCGGTTTCATCATTGTGCCATTTCTAAACTTGTATTTAACAGCCATAAGCTACACTCACGAGTGTTAAAACTTGACTATATTGGAAAATTGCTTTGATCCAGGAGTAGTCACAGCTTGGAGTCATATGCTGTACCTTTTTTTTGGTCAGCTGCCTGTCTCACATGATAATATAAGACTTAAAAATGTATCCAGAATGCAATGTTTGAATTTTTATATCCAGCGAGTTATCGCAAAAATGGATAAAGCAGCCAATACACCAAAGCTTGTTTCTGTAACTCTATGGCACTGATATTAAATTGGTGCAATATTGATAATAAAGCAAAAAGACCTGTTGAACAAAGATTAGATTTTACTTTAGGTTGCAACACTTGGTTGGTCTAAACTAAACTTGATCTTATGTGTTTTTCAACCCTGGACATTTCATGTGGTTCTTCTGCTGCGATTCAGTTTTATAGTCCTTTAATTAAAAATCCATGTCCCCTCTTTTTCTAGAGCGTCTTACATTTAATTGTACTGGCCAATGCCAGGAATGTCTTAAAAAGTTAATGTTCACCCTCAAGTATGTTTGCTCACGATTAGTTGGTCACTGCTGCATGACTTCCTGTTACTCTGTGCCCTCTGAACCAAACTTTAATAAAATGTGCTTCTGCATTCTCCTGGTGTGAACAGCGGGAAGTGCTACAAGCAGGAGGTTCTCACACCCATGTTGGAAAAACGCTCGTACGACTCGGTCCTGGACTCCCTGCCCCACACGGTGACCCTCATCTCGATGCCTTCTGCAGCCAATGGGAAGAGAGGCCTCTCTGTGTCAGTGCTGAGGGATGTCAATGGCTCAGCGAGTGTTCAGGTCAAAGAGTAAGTGGGACCTCGTGATGTCTGACTCCATGCCTGTCCTCGAGGCTCTGTGGGAACAGCATGAGTAATGCTTTACGTAACGTTGATTATAGGTTGACTAAATAGCAGGTGTGTGTAAATAAGCCACTGAAAAAAAAGTACTTATTGACAGATTAATAATATATGGGAGTTTCTCGAGTCCTGGTGTCCTGGTGGGCAGACAGGACCGGCTGTTTTTAAACCAGCACATTTATTTCATAGCCCTCACTTACTCATGCTGCTGCTGTTTTTCAGGGTCAGAGGAATGCTTATTAGTCCAGAGGTTCGAAATGCCATCCATGTTGGAGACAGGATTCTGGAGATCAATGGCCTTCCTGTGGCGACATTGATGGAGCAGGAGGTGGGCTTACATATTATCTCTGATACTTATGGAGTCATAAGTGAAGTCATTCAGCCAAAGCCGATTAGTTTCATCGTTAATGCAATTCCTTGAGTGCACTTTCGC